TGGAGATTCACTGTGAAAGGAATCAGCGAAATTCGTCTCAGAAGAGGGAATAGTGGGAACCTTACAGAAAAAATTTCTGGTTTCGAGATCCATAATACAAATTTGCCAAGCTTGTTACTTTTGTTCAATAGAGATTTTTTGAGAAAGAGTTTTGCACCAAACTACTCATAGACGGGGCAGGAGGTTGCGGAGCGTAATAGATAAAAAGCTGTCGTTTCCGAAAACTTGAAACTTGCATACTTGAAATTTGACAGATATGCATTTTATGTTGATTAGAGAACCGTTAAGAACCGGATTTGCGAAAATCGAATGTCTTGATAACAGTGGGGCATTTTAAATGTAAACTTCAGTTTTTAAAAAATTATACCAACGAGCTTGAAATTTGGCAGACATGTTTCTTTTGTTGGAATTTTCGGAACTCAATTCTCAAGGACGGGGATACTGAGGAGTAACAGATATAAATATACTCCGTTTTAGAAATTCACGCTGTGTTCTTTTTGAAACAAAAAGAGAGGGCTATAAGAATATTTTTGAATACAATCAAAAACTTTTAATACTGTAACTTAAATATCAATAACTAAAAAAAAACAATACATAGGCATACATCGTCCTGAAATACACTGCAAAGCGGCTGTTAATTAATAGTAGAATATAATGTAGGAAATACGATTGTTAATGTATAAGGTAATTCAGGAGGAAGTCGCCAGTTTGTTAATAGTACTTTTATGCGTCGATAGATGGCTATTTTGAGCCACTTAAATGAAGAGTCTGGTCCGACATTGAGTGTGGCTTGTGAATTTGTTTGAATTAATCGTCTTTAATCGCCCTTATTTTTCGATCTTTTGAGCATTTAAAGCGAAGAGTACAACTTTAATAATATTCCGTTCCTTATATTTAAAATTTATAAACGTACTTGTTAATTTAAATAAGATATTAGTAATATTGGGGTTACGCATAGTTTTACACAAACGATGCACATAGAAGCGGCCATAACACTGCAATAATAAGGTAATAAGCATGTGAGGCATCTGCCTCCTATACTTGGGGGAAAGACGCCAGATGATTCAGAAATATGAAATAAGCTTTAATTTTTTCCCATTTCATAACACTGTATATTATCATATGAAATATAACTACAATGGATAATTTGGCTGTGAGGATGGCACAGGGGATCTTCATAGGACAAAAATGTGCAAGGCTGAAGTCGACTTCTACTTCAACCTACTGTAGACCATTCTGAAGGAAATTTCGTTTTTAGCAAACTATTTATGAAAGAATTTCTTGTTTTGTTTTTCTATTGTGTTATTGTTATTTCACATTTAATTTGGTAATGTTTGTGTCTTATTTTTTTATTTAATGTGGTGTTGTTGCATATTACTCCAAGACTTGTGGTATCTTCCTCTTATATATGGAAAAGATGCCACAATTAAATGAATTTCTTTAACATTAAATTTCTTATTTATTTTCATACAAAGAAGTAGTTGTTGTTTTCTGATGCCACCTGTCTGACGTAGTCAGATCTAGGCCCACGAAATTCATCGTGGCATGGGCAAGAGGTACGCCTGTCGTTGGCCTTGAGCACCATACAGGTGACAGTACGATTTTAGCTCGGTGAAGTTCCCCGAAGGGACGATAGATGGCATGGCGATACGACCTCTATCTCCATCTCCACAATTTCCGCATGTAAACTGAAGGGGACGGAAACATTCTCCAGTCCCTGCGCTCGTGATTAAGCCCACAAGACTACAGACCCACTGATTTAACGAGCACGTACTCCGTGTGTACTCGGAGGGTGTTTGGTGGCATCGGGCATCGAACCCAGGCCTTCCGGTCTGGAGTCCGATGCTCTAACCACTAGGCTACCCACGGCCCTATACAAAGAAGTGAATTAATTTGTATACATAGCCAATTAAAAATTGAAAAATTAAGTATATTTTTTCATGGTCTGGTTATTTCAATTTTCGAAGTACTAATTGAAAACTCCTTAAATGCGGCAACATCCCCCGATTTACTCTCTTAGAATAACTTATATAATGGCAAGTGTTAAAGTTTCGTCTGTCAGCAGAGAGAGCCCTTTTAAACTTCAGAACATAATTTATTCTTATAGAATTTCTATTGAGTTGTTTCAGAGAGCGTCCAACACTACAATCCTTCTTATAAATGTCTTCAATGATGCTTTCAGCCTTAAAAAAAATAAATTAAATTCAAATCAAGATGAGAATTTCTCGGTTCAACTGAGGTGATCGAATAATATTATTTACTTTTTTGTCCAATTTGAGCCAAAGTAAATTCCAAGGATGTTGCCAAATTCAACTTCGTCCTTTCTTTTAATGCTTTTTACGAAAAAGAAACGTTAGGAAGTAGCGAAAGATTTTTAGAATCGAGCAGTCTTTTGTGTAATAGAACACATTTTTTCAAAATCCGATCTTAATGTTTTTGGATAAAATTTTAAAACCTTTCTTTTTTTGTTTAGATGGCAAGTCAAGTTTTAAGTGTGCTTCATTGCTCGGATATTTTTCTATTTTTACCAATCCCCTCTATCTAGATGTGTTTACAAAGAAAAGATTCGAATAATTTTAAGCCATTTCTCTCTCTCTCTCCTTTTCTCTTTTTCTTAAAAAAATAACTTTAACATATATACTTAACCGTTAACTTTTTGTTCAATGTTTGCACGTTATAGTTTGCTCTCTTGCTAAAGTTTAAACTGACTTTACAATGGGTAAAATAATTTTTGCTGAATCCTCTCAAGATGTGCTTGCAATATTAAGCGTGTATATTCTGTGTATCACAACAGTTTTTCTAACGAATATTATCGAAACAAAATAATGGCTGTGATGCGTTTTAATATTAATCGCTTTGAAAATATGGCCTAAAAACTAATTATGTTTGTTCCAAATTTGTACGTTACATATTTCTTTTCAAGTTATAAAGCGAGAATAAACACAAATTTCATTCTTTTTCTCTGAGCTACTTCGTTTTATATAAAAAAAGAATTATAAGAAAATGACTAAGTTTTTCAATTCAGAACAGAATGGATGTTGTAGTTCATAAAAACTTGACACTCATAACAATTGTTACGTCATCGTTTCATTCTTTAGTGGAAGACTGTCCTGACTCCAAGAGTAGATGCAATTTATGAACAAGTTTATTATTTTCACTCTGCATTTTAAGAGTTTTAATTTTTTAAAAAATGCTTGTCGATTTCGCCGAGCTTTAGTGGTGGGAGGCTGTTGAAGTCATGCAAGGCACTTGTGAACTCATCCATATTTACATGATAGATTCTGAGCAATGCAAGCTATATCGTGGAAAAATAAGCCACTCTTTCGAAAAGCCAATGCGGCCGCGGTAACTTAGTGGTCAAGGTCACGGATTCGTAGTTGGTGCGTCATGAGTGCGAACCAATTACAGCTGAAAACTCGCAGTGTAAGGGTCCGATGTACCTTAAATCTGTTGAAGCTCAAACGTCCTCCCCTTGGTGGGGTGGGGTAGTTAGGAATTGAGGTTGCCAGCTCAGATGTCAGCCTCGTCACTTGATCATGGTTCAAAATTACGAGGTCCTCTCCAAAAGCCCTCGTGTAGCTGAATAGAGTAACGTTAATATTAACTGAATCATTTGGATATGCCACTGCCCGGTCGCTGTTAAATTCCGATACATTTTGATAGCGTTTTATCTTTCCTAAAAGAGGCATAATTGGATCATTTCACAAACAACCAACATTCAATTTTTATATTCAAATAGTATATCTGTTTCACGTTTCTTCCCGTCACAGGTATATGGATCTGCAGTAGATCCTTCATCCCTTATTCGATAATGTATTTTGGCACTGACAAGTGGAAGGCCTGAGAAATAGTACATCTGCTACGAAATTATCATTTTATACCAATTTAAAATGCCGCTTCTCCCTCCTTTGTTTTTTATTGCGCTTAAATGCATACCCCGTCATCTTCTTCGTCTCATGGGTATTTCAGGTTTCTATTATTCCTCCTGCTTTGTATTGGAATTTTAATGTCCAACAGTGTGTAATAGTAGCAACCAGTCTAAACCAGAGTTTGGAACATAACCGATAAGTATCGTGTTTCTATTTTGCACAGAATCGAAATAAGTTATTGATAGTTATTTTTAAGGTGACTGGTGAAAATGAAGAGTCCTATTTTCAAAACTTTTATACAAAATTGTTCTATAAATATAACATTTTGTCTATAAATGGTTAAGACTATCATACCGGGGTTGAACTAAATTTTTGAAAAATTCACACTATTTTTTTACAAGCTTACTTAACTTGCAATGTAAAATATATATATATATATATTCGGGTGGAATCTTGCAACTCAGTTTTGAAGCTGACATCTTCAACCGATTGAGCTGAAATTTTGTATACACATTTAGTTTGGATGACAATGCATGATTTGAATATTTATATTCCTATATCGCAATTAGTTAAAATATATTAATTAAAGTAATTTGTTCGGGTGGAATCTTGCAACTCAATTTTGACGCTGATGTCTTCGACCGATTTAGCTGAAATTTTGTATACACGTTTAGTTTTGACAATTTATATTCCGATATCGAACTAGTTACTGTAACGATCTTGTACAGGTGTTGAGGTGAGCATGTTTGCAATAATAAACGTGTGGAACGGGGGCGTAGCTCAGATGGTAGAGCGCTTGCTTAGCATGTGAGTGGTACGGGGATCGATACCCCGTGCCTCCAATCTTTTTTTTCCGTGTAAAATATTTTTGAAATTAATTTGATTCGTACAACGGGATATTTTACTATACTTCCACTCAGCATACGTAAAAAGTATGTATATTTTTACTGTTCTAGAAGGAACAGTAAGAAATGTAGATCTGTCAAGCTATTTCTACTTACATTGAAACATTCTATGATATATATTTACTCGATTTTAGCTTCTCTCGTAACACTTTTAATTGACCTAGTTACTATAACCATCTTGTTCAAGTGTTAAGTGGAGCATGTTTATAATAACACAGGGTAGACCGGGAGCGTAGCTCAGATGATAGAGCGCTCGCTTAGCATTCGAGAGGTAAGGGGATTGATACCCCTCGCCTTCAATTATTATTTTTTCGGGTAAAATATTTTTGAAATTTGTTTGATTTGCACAACGGGATATTTTACAATACTTCCACTCAGCATACGTGCAAAGTATACTATAATTTTTAAAAGTTTTTATTCAACTTCCAATGTAAAATGTTCGAGTGAAATCTTGCAACTTTATTTTGAAGCTGATGTCTTCAACCGATTGAGCTGAAATTTTGTATATACGTTTAGTTTGGATGGCAATGATTTTTTGACCATTTATATTCCAATATCGCAATTAGTTAAAAAGAAAAGCTGCATGGCCCGGCGTTGCACGGGAATTCTCTACTTTTATAAATTTTGCCTTTCCTTCACAAAATCAGAACTTCTAATACTCTTTTTCAAAATAACTTCCACCCCCTCCCTTCCTCCGCTTAACCCTGCGTTGCTCGGGGTTTTACTGAGTGTATAAATCAAAATTCGCTGTTTCGAAAAATTTTCGCTTCTTTTCTTCGTCAGACAGGTTTATACCCGCCCCCCGGCATTGCACGAACATTTTTAAATGTATAACATATTGTCATGGAAATTTCCCTTCCTCTCTCGCTATTAGAGCTCTCGAGTAAGTGATCATTCACCGATTCTCAAGCAGCTTGACACGCGCAGCCATATAGTGGCACAAAAATTAATGAATTATTCCACAAATGAAATTCATAAAAAAAGTGTTCGACATTTTAATTTTTATATCACTAACTATAAAAGATCAAAGTTTTGTAAAAATCATTTTCATGTAAACGCATCGATATTGATTTATTTTAGATAAAATCATAAAATATGTAAAATATTGTTGGTTTGTAAAAAAAAGAAGTGTTGTGACGAAATAAATTATCTTTCCAATTACAAAGTTGGTGGCGAAGTTATTAAATGTGCGAATAAAATTTTGAGTATTTAAAAAAATCATAAACCCGGGTACAAAAGTTACTAATCCAGCGCTCTAAGCGACCAATCCACGAAATCTTCGGAAAAAAATTAATAAAAGACCGTTGAAACGAAAGTAGAGATATTAAATTTCGCATTGCGTTATTTGTTATAGCTTAAAAATTTTTTTCGGGCTTCATTTTTAAGTTAATGCCTTCAAACTTCGTTAATCGATTACAAGCAACGGTAATTTTTAAACAAAAAATGTAACAAAAAGAATGCTTAAATATTTCTCGCAAAAAGGGGAAAAAAAGAAAAACACAATTTTTTTTTAACCGTAATTTTTAAGCAACACACGGAAAAAATGTTTCTTGAGATTATTTTTATAAATAAAGAAACTATTAAGTATTTAAATAAAATGTAAGGATTTTTTTAAAAATCTTGAAAAAAACATTTTTGACATTTTATTTTTTTAAATGACTGATTCTAAAAGAGAAAAGCATGGATTTTATTGGTGTAGAATATCATTAAATTAACGTGAAAGAAAATGCAATCGGAATGGTTTAAAAATCATTTTCATTAAAACGTATCAATTTTGAATTTTTTGGAAAAAATCGTAAAAATTAGAAAATATCATTATTTTGTAAAATAAATTATATCGTATCTTGGCAAAGTAAATGATCTTTCCAATTCTGTATTTATTTTTTTATCTGAGTCTCAAAAAAAAAATTAAATTGTGTTTGAAAACGTCTGGCATAAAAAAAAAGTCGGAAAATTGGAACTTCGCCTCATGGCGGAAAAAAATGGCAATAATTATGCGCTTTAAGGTTTTTAATTAATATCTTTTTAACTAATTGCACTTTTGGAACATAAATGGTCAAAACGGATTCCCTGGAACATTCCCGTTTTTTTGGTTCAGTCGGCGAGTTTTACTTCACGTGGTTCGTGAGAACATACACCTAGTCTTATAGTCACATACGTTTGTTTACTTTCGAATTTGAAGAATAGTGTAGATATTAGTTAAAGTAGTTTGTTCAGGTGGAATCATGCAAACGGTATAATTCTTTTAAAAAGACAATGATATTTTCCATTTTTTACAATTTTGTCTAAAATGAGTCGAAATGGATGCGTTTTCAAGAAAATGATTTCTAAATCGTTCCGTATGAATTTTTTTTTCGTGTTATTGAATCAATATTCTCCACTACAAAAGTTCAGGCTTTTCTCTTTTAGAATCAGACATTTAAAAAATAAAATACTAAACACTTTTTTTTTTACGATTTTTCAAAAACATTCTTAAATTTTTAATAAAACATTTAAAAACTTCGTCAATTTTTAAATATAATCGTACGAAAATATTTTTTCGTTTGTAGAATGGTATTATCGAAATTCTGGACAAAGATTGAAAAAATTGGTTTAAAATTACGCATTTTAAATTTTTTGTTTTTTTTTTTTTTTCGTTTTTAATATAGTATTATAGTAAAATAAAAGAAAAAATGAGTTTTAATATTTTGATTAATTTTGTTTTCTCCAATTATGCTTTGGTCTTACAGTGTTTATCCCCCTTTCACATTATCCTCTTGTTGCGTGTCGAGTAAAATATTTATCATATGTACGTTACCTGGCGGGAAAAAAGATTGAGTACCCCTGAGCTAGCTTGCTCAAAATTAACAATTAAACGACCTTGCAACAATGATGCATTGAATGAGATGAACACACTGTGAAACTGGCCAGCGATAACTAAAAAATAAATTAAAATTTAAAAAAAAATTTAAACAAGCTTTTATTTAAATGCTCTAAAAAGAATTAAATAAACTTTTCTTATAAAACTTTTTTTGCCATCAACTTATAACGTATTTACACAATTTACGATATGAAAGCTTGTCGCGAGATTTACCTGTGTAGATAAACAAGCAAATTAAATAACTTGATCTGATTGATTTTAATTCTTAAAATTTTCAAACTAAGTAAATACAAGTTCTTAAACCTAAGATTTCATACCGTGGTTGAAATAAATTTTTTGAAAAATTCTCATTAATTTTAGAGTTACGATCAATTGAAATAATAATGGATGATTTTTTTTTAAGTTGAAATTTCTCTAGTCAGATACAATAAACTATGAAGAATCCACTTCCTAATTATATATTTAAAAAGTATTAATTCACATTTCCACAGCATATAGAAGTCAACTACATACAAAATATTATCATTATAAAATGATTCTTCATAAAAAGAGAACGTTTTTAAAATATGTCGCACTTTCTTCTTTTTTTTTTTCTGCCAAAAGATTTCACTTAAACATTTTTTTGTTTTAATAATATTCATAAAACAAATTTATATGTATATTCTAATTCAACTAACACTAAATATTAAAAAAAAAAATATCCGTTTTTACGCTTTTTCAAAATCACGGCTTCAAACGTAAGCAGTCACCTTAAGAACATTTTCTATTGCGGCAAGATTACATAAAAATTATTTTAAGTCCGTATTAAATAACTCGGTGCCTAAATAAACAGCTTAGACAGCCGTATATTTATATTTAAACGAAAAAATATTAGAAATATATTCTATATATTTGAAACTAGTATGTATATAAAATAATGCATTCCTTCTTAAAAATATTATTTTATCATTATTATGAAATTTTTATACAAATTTTAATATTAGATGGTGAGTACACAACCAAAAATTTATAGAAAGAAAGAATTGTACTTTCCCGTTTCGCCGGCGCAGGCGATAGAGTCGCCAAAAATGATACTACCGACGTCAAATGGAAAATTCCTGCTGATAACTTTTTACCATCACATTTTTAAAACTAGGCGTTGTCTTTTCTTATCAGTTTATATATTTTTTTTTCATTTTACAACGAAAATGGATGAAAAACTAATGAAAACTAATAATTAACCCTTCGTCGGACACAACTGTCCTAACACAACTGCAAAATGATTTTGTGTCAAATTAGCAATTTTGCTTGTTTTAGTTTAAGCTTCACTTTGTTCAATAGTTATTTTTTACTTTGTTACTTCACTTAGTATTTTTTATGTATTTGCTTTCCTTTACCAGTATTTTGAAACAAAATTATTTAAGGCAGTGCTCCTCAAACTGTCAATGTTTGCGACCCAATATTCAATCATAATTTTCGTCGCCCCTCCGCTCCGTACAATAACAAAGTATTTAATTCAATGACACTGTACTTTGTGACGGTAAAGCTACAATACGAATTAAGTGCCACCGGCTTATATAAACATTTATCTCAGCCAAAGCGTTAATTGCCCCGGACGTGTATATATATATACGGCTTTCTGAAGTACGCTCTAGTGTGTACACTGCTGTCCATAAACATATTTCGACGGCTTTGGAATGCAATAAAAAGACCTTAGCAGTGTTTTCGAAGCATTTATTTACTTAAGAGAAGGTTTTATTTTTATATTTATTCTTTTTATCGACCCCCAATACATCACATACGTGGAAAATGGTTGAATTGGAGAGCGAATCGCGTGACTTTTTTAATCGGCATTTAATGGGCTAATTATAAACTGTACAAATTATCAAGATAAGCGTTAATTTTTATATATAATTTTATATATGACAATCCCATGGGGTCACTGGTAATTATTTAACTTGTTCTTAGCTTAGTATTGTTAAATTAATTATAAAATGCATTGTATAGTAGTGATGCATTTATAAGTGTATTAGCTCAATGCGAATGTGTATTTTGTATTTTATTAAGTCAGAAAGAATTTTATTTATTTACTTTCAGAAAATTAATACTTTTTTAAAATTATGTTTTGTTTTCCACTCTTCAATACACTCACCACCCTCTTCGTACAGTTATCACGTCCCCCTAGGGGATTATGCCCCACAGTTTGAGAAATGCCGGATTAGGGTGTAGGAGGAAGTCATAATATGTCTGTGGTCACTGAGGCCGTTTGCTCCTGATTATGTTTCGTTCAGAGGTACGCCCGACAAAGGGTTAATAACATTTTTTTATGTTTATATTTTGTGTTGTCGCCAATAACGCCAACTTGGAGACATTTGAGTCGGAGAAACGAAAAAGTACGGGAAAAGAATACGTTCTTCTCCAATTAGAAAAAATTCCGAAATAATTGGAATTTGTTCTCAC